CCCGGTTCACTCTACTTCCCTGTAAACCAACCACCCCACCCTCCCCTCCCCCCTTCGAGCACCGCTTGCAGAGGCAATAAAGTCATTGTTACTTCACATTCAGGCATTCTTTATTAATTCATCACACAACTAGGGGGATAATTGCCAAGGTAGCCCGGGATGGGTGCGGGAGGAGGGAAGGAAAAGGACACACTGCAGTTTAAAACTTTAACTGTTATTGAAGGCCAGCCTTCTGATGCTCGGGCAATCATCTGGGGTGGAGTGACTGGGTGGCTGGAGGCCCCCCCACCGTGTTCTTGGGCGTCTGGGTGAGGAGGCTATGGAACTTGGGGAGGAGGGCTGTTGGTTACACAGGGGCTCTAGCGGCGGTCTCTGCTCCTGCTGCCTTTCCTGCAGCTCAACCATACGCTGGAGCATATCAGTTTGATGCTCCAGCAGCCGGAGGATTGACTCTTGCCTTCTGTCTGCAAGCTGACGCCACCTATCATCTTCAGCCCGCCACTTGCTCTGTTTGTCCCGCGATTCAGCCCGCCACCTCTCCTCTCGTTCATATTGTGCTTTTCTGTAGTCTGACATTGACTGCCTCCACGCATTCTGCTCTGCTCTGTCAGCGTGGGAGGACATCTGGAGCTCCGAGAACATATCATCCCGAGTCCGCCGTTTTCTCCTTCTAATCTTCACTAGCTTCTGTGAAGGAGAAGCATTTGCAGCTGGTGGAGGAGAAGGGAGAGGTGGTTAAAAAAGACACATTTTAGAGAACAATGGGTACACTCTTTCATGTTAAATTTTGCTGTTCACATTACACAGCACATGTGCTTTCGTTACAAGGTCGCATTTTTCCTCTTATATTGAGGGCCTGCCGGTTTGGTGTGAGAGATCACTCACGCAGTGCCAGGCAACAGATTTCGGCTTGCAGGCAGCCATGGTAAGCCACAGTCTTTTGGCTTTTTTAACCTTCTTAACATGTGGGAATGGTTTCAAACAGTAGCGCCCTCATTTCCCATACCAAGCACCCGTTGGGTTGGCCATTTAAAATGGGTTTGCAATGTAAAAGGAGGGGCTGCGGTTTCCGGGTTAACATGCAGCACAAACCCAACTAACCCCCCCTCTCCCCCCACACCAAATTCTTGGGGATGATCACTTCACCCCTCCCCCCCACCGCGTGGCTAACAGCGGGGAACATTTCTGTTCAGCAGAGCAGGAACGGGCACCTCTGAATGTCCCCTTAATAAAATCGCCCCATTTCAACCAGGTGACCGTGAATGATATCACTCTCCTGAGGATAACAAAGAGCGATAAGGAATGGATGTTGTCTGCATGCCAGCAAACACCGGGACCATACGCTGCCATGCTTTGTTATGCAATGATTCCAGACTACGTGCTACTGGCCTGGTGTGGTAAAGTGTCCTACCATGGCGGACGGGATAAGGCAGCCCTCCCCAGAAACCTTTTGCAAAGGCTTTGGGAGTACATGAAGGAGAGCTTTCTGGAGATGTCCCTGGAGGATTTCCGCTCCATCCCCATACACGTTAACAGACTTTTCCAGTAGCTGTACTGGCCGCGATTGCCAGGGCAAATTAATCATTAATCATTAAACACGCTTGCTTTTAAACCATGTGTAATATTTACAAAGGTACACTCACCAGAGGTCCCCTGTGTGCCCTCAGGGTCTGGGAGCACGCCTTGGGTGAGTTCGGAGGTTACTGGTTCCAGGTCCAGGGTGATAAACATATCCTGGCTGTTGGGGAAACCGGTTTCTCCGCTTCCTTGCTGCTGTGAGCTATCTACATTATCTTCATCCTCATCTTCCTCGTACCCTGAACCCGCTTCCCTGTGTGTTTCTCCATTGAAGGAGTCAAAGCACACGGTTGGGGTAGTGGTGGCTGCACCCCCTAGCATGGCATGCAGCTCCGCGTAGAAGCGGCATGTTTGCGGCTCTGCCCCGGACCTTCCGTTTGCCTCTCTGGCTTTGTGGTAGGCTTGCCTTAGCTCCTTAATTTTCACATGGCACTGCTGTGCGTCCCTATTATGGCCTCTGTCCTTCATGGCCTTGGAGACCTTTTCTAATATTTTGCCATTTTGTTTACTGCTACGGAGTTCAGCTAGCACTGATTCATCTCCCCATATGGCGAGCAGATCCCATACCTCCCGTTCGGTCCATGATGGAGCTCTTTTGCGATCCTGGGACTCCATCACGGTTACCTGTGCTGATGAGCTCTGCGTGGTCACCTGTGCTCTCCACGCTGGGCAAACAGGAAATGAAATTCAAACGTTCGCGGGGCTTTTCCTGTCTACCTGGTCAGTGCATCTGAGTTGAGAGTGCTGTCCAGAGCGGTCACAATGAAGCACTGTGGTATAGCTCCCGGAGGCCAATAACGTCGAATTCCGTTCACACTACCCCAATTCCGACCTGCTAAGGCCGATTTTAGCGCTAATCCCCTCATCGGAGGTGGAGTAAAGAAACCGGTTTAAAGGGCCCTTTAAGTCGAAAAAAGGGACTTAGCCGTGTGAACGTGTCCAGGCTTAATTCGATTTAACGCTGCTAAATTCGACCTAAATTCGCAGTGTAGACCAGGCCTTAGAGAGCTTAGTCACAAGGGACAAGGCCTTAAACCAGGGATCAGCAACCTTTGGCACGCGGCTCGCCAGGGTAAGCACCCTGGCGGGCCGAGCCCTTTTGTTTACCTGCGGCGTCCACAGGTTCCCACTGGCCGCGGTTCACCGTCCCAGGCCAATGGGGGCGGTGGGAAGCGGCGCGGGCCGAGGGATGTGCTGGCTGCCGCTTCCCGCCACTGCCATTGGCCTGGAGCGGCGAACTGCAGCTAGTGGGAGCCACGATCAGCCGAACCTGCGGATGCAGCAGGTAAACAAACTGTCCTGGCCTGCCAGGGTGCTTACCCTGGTGAGCCACGTGCCAAAGGTTGCTGATCTCTGCCTTAAACCAAGCAGAGATCAATAATTAACCTCTGAAAAAGCAGACAAAACATTTCCCTTTGATCAAATTTCAGCATCTCGTTTGTCTTAGTCTGAAGTTCCATAGCCACTTCTGAAGTTTGGTTTCATGGTTCTCAGATTGAGGTTAGTGAAATTTAATTTCATTTAGACTAACCTTGATGCTTTCAAATTAAAAATGGACTCCTAACAAGTCCTTTGCAGTACACTGTGCAGTAAGGTATATATCTTCTTGCTTTCCCTTCCTCATAAATAGAATTAAAAATTATTCTAAAATGTAATTTGCATGTAATTCAGTTAAATTTAAATAATATAGATAATTATTTCTAATTAATTTTAACAAATACTGTGTTTGGGCTATAAATAGACATCAGTTCCTCATATTTCCATGGTCATTGTACAATTAGAACAAGAATGAATAAAGAATAAAGCAGCTTCACAGTATTTTGACATTACTGTACTGCATTTTTAAATGCCTGTATTTAGATAAAAACAGAACAGTATGTTTGTATAAATTTTGCCTGCACACACTTCAGATTACCATCAACTGCTATCATAGAAAAAGTGCATTAAATTCAATAATCTTATGTTGTGTTTCATTGTTCTTTCACTGTATTAATACTCAGGATCCAATTCTAGTGATGGTATCTCTCCTTTTTGTAGGTAGAAAGGAAGCGTCATATTGGAAATGACATTGTCACTATCGTGTTCCAGGAAGGGGAAGAATCTTCTCCAGCATTTAAGCCTTCCATGATTCGCTCTCATTTTACACGTATCTTTTGCTTTCTGTTTTTTTAATTGACTAAAGCTTGTTTACAAACCCCCATTAAATCCTTCCTATATGCCATTCACAGAAGAGAAAAGTATATTTTAAAATATCTTATATATAAGACATTTTATAGATTACTTAATTTTGTATCCCTAAATCTGTGAAAATTCTCCATCATGAACTACATCAAAGGTGTGCTGATTAAAAACAAGCAGACACTTTCAAATCAGATGCTTTTATTACTAAAGAATTCTTCAGATGGCTTCACAAAGTTAACTCAATATACATTTCCAAAAGAATATTTTCAGAAAATACTTCTGCTATTGATGTGAATAAATGTTTCAGTATCTACCGAATGCTGCCTCATGACATTTAGAGATCATTTATTTTAGATATTTACTATAGATGGGATGGGATACACAATTAAAGTAAAAAATACCAAAACCTTCAGAGTGATGGGTGACATTTTAAAATTGCATTATGACCTATAGAAATGAACACAATACTGAGAGTCAGGAACTTGTGAGTTCTAAACCCAATTCTGATATTGACTGCATGGTCTATTGTTGTTACCCCTTTCTTCTCGCCCACTTGTTTGTTTTAGTCATATGTTGGATCTTGTCTTTTAGATTTTTCTTTGAGCAGGGCCTATCATTTACTATATGATGCTAAAGTGCTTAGCACAGTGGGGACCCACGTCATAGAGGCCTCTAGATGCTACTGTAATACAAATGTTAATAATAAGACTTGGGGAAGTCACTTTATCTCTCTATACCCGAATTTCAATATTAGTAAAATTGTGACAATAATTCTTACCACATGGGGGTGTTGAGAGGATTAGTTAATGAATGTTGAAGAGGAATATTTATCTCTTATCTAACACAGTCTTGGGTTTCAACATTCTCAAAGTTCTAAAGCCATTGGTCTAGACATGTGAAACCTGCGAGAAAAACATAGAAATTGGGCTTGTTTTTGGCTTAATTGGCTTGTGAGTTGCTTGTTGGCTATTTTTTGGCTTGTTGCTTGTTGTAGCTTGTTGCTTCTTTTTTTTTTTATTAGCTCTCCGCAAGGAGGGGCAAGGGGGGAGAGAATCGGGGTGCACAGTGGGCCCACCACAGTCCCAGACTACACACGGGGGGACCTAGTCACATAGAGTGTTGCGGTTCTTAGGGATTAGCTTGTTTTGGCCTTGTTTTGAAATGGGATTAGCTTGATTTTTGGCTTATTGTGAAAGTCAGGGTGCTTATTTACCGCGTGAAAGTTGGCAACTGTGCATTGGTCCTGGCAGGGAGCATCCTGCACCAGTCCTTGCTATGTAATGTGGACACTCCCTAATGCGCTAGCTGCCAGTTCTTTTCAGACTATAGGTAGTGGTTGAGCTCCACCTTCTCCATGTAATGGGATGGAAAGCTAATGTATGGCTTTACTCCGTCAGTCTGTTAGCAAAGGTCCTGATGAAACTCCGGAGAGACACCAATTCTAATAGACCCCTTTTAGGACAAGACAGACAAATTCTTGAGCCTGTTTAGTACATTGCTAATCTCATCACGTTGAGAGTCTGAATATACTGGATCATATGTGTAGAGCAAGTCTTTACGTCTCAGCCTGGGAATTCCTCTCTGTTGCATGACTCTTGAGAGAAATAGAAAGACTTACTTTGTCCAAGCAGGTGTCCCAGTTCATCCTGTGGCTCAGAAATGCTTTTGGGCTGGTGTGAAATCCTACATGGATCCTTTTACATGCCCAATGCAAAAGTCAGTTAGCTACCACCTTCCACTCTGAGTTTGGGACAAAGACATCTTCCCTCCAACCCCATTTGGCAGCTGTTTTAGCATTTAAGGATCTGGATGTTAGGCCAGTGTCTACAGTAGAGGTGGGCCAATGTTTTTGCTCCAGTAGTTCATTCACTGAAAAATGAAGTTTTGGTCAACTTTAAACTATTCACAAATTTGCTAAATCGTTTCAGTTAGAAAAAAATCGGGGTAGATTAATAAAACAGCTAGAGGAGTAGGTGGTATCCACTTTGTAGGTTCTAGCCCAATGGTTAGGACATACACCTGGGATGTGGAAGACCCAAGTTCAAGTCCCTTCTCTGAAACAGGGATTTAAATCCATATCTGCCCTCTCCCCAGATGATTGTCTTCACCACCAGGCTATTCTGGGATGGGTCTTTCTCCATCTCTCCTGTTGAAGCTGTTCCACTCTGTATAAAATATGTGAACAGAATAATGCAGAAAGAATAGCAAATGTGGCAGGTGACCAGCTTTGCTTAACAGAGAAATCTTGGGTGAGCTGAAACACAAAAGAAGCTTACAAGAAGTGGAAACTTGGACAGATGACTAGGGAAGAGTATAAAAATATTGCTCGAGCATGCAGGGGTATAATCAAGAAGGCCAAAGCACAATTGGAGTTGCAACTAGCAAAGGATGTGAAGGGTAACTGGAAAGGGTTTCTACAGGTATGTTAGCAACAAGAAGGTCAGGGAAAGTGTGGGACGCTTACTGAAAGGGGGAGGTAACCCACTGACAGATGATGTGGAAGAAGCTGAAGTACTCAATGCTTTTTTTGCCTTGGTCTTCACAGACAAGGTCAGCTCCCAGACTGTTGCACTGGACAGCACGGTATGGGGAGGAGGTGAGCAGCCCTCAGTGGTGAAAGAACAGATTAAGGACTGTTTAGAAAAGCTGGACATGCACAAGTCCATGGGTTCGGATCTAATGCATCCGAGGGTGCTGAGGGAGTTGGCTGATGTGATTGCAGAGCCATTTGCCATTATCTTTGAAAACTCTTGGTGATCGGGGGAGGTCCCGGACGATTGGAAAAAGTCAAATATATATTGCCCATCTTTAAAAAAGGGAAGAAGGAGAATCCGGGGAACTATAGACCGGGCAGCCTCACCTCAGTCCCTGGAAAAATCATGGAGCAGGTCCTCAAGGAATCCATTTTGAAGCACTTGAAGGAGAGGAAGGTGATCAGGAACAGTCAACATGGATTCACCAAGGGCAAGTCATGCCTGACCAACCTGATTGCCTTCTATGATGAGATAACTGGCTTTGTGGATATGGGGAAAGTGGTGGAAGTGATATACCTTGACTTTAGCAAAGCTTTCGGTATGGTCTCCCACATATTCTTGCCAGCAAGTTAAAGACGTATGGATTGGATGAATGGACTATAAGGTGGATAGAAAGCTGGCTAGATTGTTGGGCTCATTGGGTAGTGATCAACGGCTCGATGTCTAGTTGGCAGCCAGTATCAAGCGGAGTGCCCCAGGCATTGGTCCTGGGGCCAGTTTTGTTCAACATCTTCATTAATGGTCTGGATGATGGGATGGATTGCACCCTCAGCAAGTTCGCAGATGACACTAAGCTGGGGGGAGCGGTAGATACGCTGGAGGGTAGGAATATGGTCCAGAGTGACCTAGACAAATTGGAAGATTGGGCCAAAAGAAATCTGATGAGGTTCAACAAGGACAAGTGCAGAGTCCTGCACTTAGGACAGATGAATCCCATGGACTGCTACAGGCTGGGGACCGACTGGCTAAGCGTCAGTTTTGCAGAAAAGGACCTGGGCATTACAGTGGACGAGAAGCTGGATGAGAGTCAACAGTGTGCCCTTGTTGCCAAGAAGGCTAACAGCATATTGGGCTGCATTAGTAGGAGCATTGCCAACAAATTGGGGAAGTGATTATTCCCCTCTATTCGGCACTGGTGAGGCCACATCTGGAGTATTGCATCCAGTTTTGGGGCCCCCCACAACAGAAAGCATGTCGAAAAAATGGAGAGAGAGTCCAGCGAGGGAAACAAAAATGGTTAGGGGGCTGGGGCACATGACGTATGAGGAGAGGCTGAGGGAACTGGGCTTATTTAGTCCGCAGAAGAGAAGAGTGAGGGGGGATTTGATAGCAGCCTTCAACTACTTGAAGGGGGGTTCCAAAGAGGATGGAGCTCGGCTGTTCTCAGTGGTGGCAGATGACAGAACAGGGAGCAATGGTCTCTGGTTGCAGTGGGGTTGTTCTAGGCTGGATATTTCACTAGGAGGGTGGTGAAGCACTGGAATGGGTCACCAAGGGAGGTGGTGGAATCTGCATCATGAGAGGTTTTTAAGACCCAGCTTGACAAAGCCCTGGCTGGGATGATTTAGATGGGGTTGGTCCTGCTTTGAGCAGGGGGGTTGGACTAGATGACCTGAGGTCTCTTCCAACTCTATGATTCTATGAATAGTCATTGGGCCACACAAAGAGAGAATGACTCCGTTGCCTGGTGGCTAGGGCACGCACATGGGAGATGCAAAATTAAGTGCCTACTCCAATGAATATTTAATTATTTTTACAAAACAGAACAGCTTCAACAGGAGAGAGAGAGAATTTCTTATAGCCTGATGCAGGGCACTCACCTGGGAAGAAGGGAGTGGGTTCACATCCCTGCTCCAGGCCTAGCATTTGGAGCTGGGTCTTCCACATACGAGGAGAGTGCCCTGACCATTGGGCTGAAAGTTATGTGAGCCACTTCTCCTGCTGCCATTTTGTGAATGTTTTGTTTAACTCAAAATGGACTTTTAATTTCACCAAGATTTTTTGGAAATTTTCTGATTTGGTTTGACCCAAACAGAATTTTATTTTTATTTTTTAACTGCCAGTGAACTGAAAAACAGGTTATTTGCTCAGCTGTAATCTGCAGCTCCTTGTTATCAAATTCATGAGGGATTTGATGTGTTTAAATCACTTATTTAAAAGCCCCCATCATGGGAAATTAGTGTGGTCCTGGCCATGCTGCTGACAGCTTTTGAACCATTGAATGCGTATGAGCTCAAAACTCTTACAAGGAATGTTATTTTGTTGGTGGAACTGACTTCAGCCAGCAGAGTAAGAGCCTGGTCCTGAGATGTATAGAGCGCCTGCAGCTTCCGTTGTAATGCTCACCCCTTCTTAGGATCAAGCCCAGTTGTCTGATCCATCTTTTTACTAAATTCTTTGAAGATATATTGTGGCCACAGACATGCCCTAAATTCTTTCCAAAGGTGGTATCTGCGTTCCATGTGGCTCATTTAATTGTGCTGCCAATGTTTTCCCCCTCACCTAGTTGCCCATCCTGGGAAAGCTCTTCTCTAAGCTGTGTCTATAGTAGGAAAAATGCTCCTGTATTGAGGAGAGTTAGATAAGACAATAATAAAACACCTGAGCACTGGCTACGGTACAGCCTCCATATTACTGCCACTGTTGGAGCTGTGCCACTGGAGAATTATAGGTCCTAATTTTTCTAGTGTAGACAAAGCCCAGAGCCTGATGGCAAAAGGTCCCTAGATCTTGTTAGGAGCACCCTAAAAACTCTTAGAAAGGTTGCTCAGATTTGTGTTTTCCTTGACACTGTTTATAGCTTAGAAGGTCATGCAGCTCAAAGGTCATGTCAAGGATCATTCAGTGTCAAGGAAATCTGCCACAACAAGATGCCTCTGATCTGTTTCTATCTGAGACTTGCATCCGCATTGAATTATCTGGCCATTTTTCCATATGTGCTGTTGCCTAGATTCTCACCAGAGTCATGAATCAAGATTAGTAATAGATCTTGGTGCAGTCATGAAAATTTACATTGCTACCCTACTTGGCCCTCTGTTTAACTTAATTATGCTGGAAGAATTTCTATAAGTCTGTGTTAGGAAATGTTATCATGTTGAAACATGTTTTTTAATAATTCACTCTGTGGTAACTGTAGACAAGAACAAGTTATTTTCAACATCATTAAGCCCAGTCGTGACTAGCTAAGATGATGCTGAATATGGCTTGTCTTCGTGTATACTGACCACAGAGTTGTGACCATCAGATTAGCTAGCTCAGTTGTTGAAAATAGTGTTTAAACACAATAAAACTTCTCATTGTAGACATTGACTAAGATACTTGCACTTTTTAAGCCTTGCCATTTTAAACATTCATAAAAGAGATGCCCTACCAGAACAATCGAAGGTGCATAAACTAGAATTATATCAAATGTAGTAAAACAATTAATATATTTCACCATATTTCATCTGCTTTTTCAACAGAATGGGCATTTTCAAAACACAAGTGAACTCCATAGACATGAAAGTAATGGATTAATTTCTTTAACTTGCATGGCAGATATTTTTGCCTTAGTGAGATATAATAAGCAAAATGATAGTTACAGGTAGGTGATAACTTTAACCAAATCATTCACTTTGTTAGTTTGATGTTACAGTAGAAGTGGAAGTAAACTATTCTTCATAGTCCACCTATCTAATTCCATGAATTGGGTGTTTTTAAGTGATCATGAAAGTGAGTGGTAAACGGTTCCATGGTGGGGCATAATGTAGTTGATATCTATGGAATTTCCCCCCATAAATAAGAGTTGTGTGTTCTACTGTGCCTAAGCAAAGACTCTTATGTCCCGATTCAGTAATGTGACTGAGAATATACTCAGGTGAGGAATCCAGTATTATTGTGTTTATTCTGTACCCAATTGAAACTAGCCTTGCAGATAGGAAAATCTCTTTTGACCATGTTACTCCTTATAATACTCTAGTTCTTGGGTCCTTTTATATATGTGCCTAGGGTTTGTGTTGGAAAATGTCTGTAATACACAGTTTAAAAAAAAAGAGGTAATGTACACAGTGGTAGGATTTTGTAATTGAAATGTTAAGTTTGTAATTTCATTTTTGTTTGAATAAGGACTAGATTCTGCCACTCTTGTTCTCATTGAATAGTGTATCATCCTACAAGAGTCAACTGAATGTAAAGTAATGTACTAGTTAATGGACAGGTGTCAGCATCTGATCCCCGGTGAATATCCTGAGAACATTCATTGAGACTTGCGATTTCTGAAGTGTTGATACGATGTTTCCCAGTAATAATTTATAGTTCTTGTTCCTGCTTAAGCAGTATGTCTGGTACTCTTTGTATGTGACTTTCAAACCAAATAAATAGTAATTCTTTCATTAGGCTGAAAATATTTTCAGAAGAAAGTGTACCTCTCTTTGGGCCTCCCCTTCCATCTCCACCTGTGTTCACAGATCACCAGGAATTCAGGGACTTTGTACTAGTGAAGTGTAAGTCTTTTTGAGGTCAAAGAGACCTTTTTAAACTTTTAGTCCTATACATAAGAATCTGCTCTTCACACTTATTTGGGATACTGTAGATTGTAAATAATTTTTCTGCTGTGCAATGTTACAGTTTTATATTGAGTCTTTTTTTAAAGTTTGGCTATTCTAGCCTCAGTGGAATATGAATCCCCTCAAACATTTCTATATGGTTCTGATAAACACTGAACTCCCATGCAGTTAATGCTTCCTAGGTTACCAGATCCAATCTGGTTTGAGCATTTCAGAAGTATTTGTTCCATTGCTTAATGAATTGTTCATTTTCCAAAGGTTTCTTCTTAAAGACAAAGGAGAGTGATATTCAGAAACATATTAATCTAATGCCATTTCTTATATTTAGCAGTAAAAGGTGCCAGACTGGCAACTTTGGAGACTAAAGTACTTTATCTACAGAAAATGTGCAGCATGGAAAACAGTCAGTATGTTTCAGTGCTGTTATGAATATTTTAGTGCTGTTATGAACCAGTTCCCGAGGAGAGAACTCAATCTTAATGGACTAATTCAAGCCGTGACCTCCTGCTAAGACTCCCAGGAAGGGGGCCACTGAGTACTAATCATGATTTTTGTAATGTAAACATCTGACCAATAGGAACTTGACTGAGAACTCACCAGTTCATTTCATATAAGTTACTAAAGAATACTCGTTGATATTTAAATGGATTAGCAGTGTAGACTCCTAACTCATATATCAGCCAAGAGATTACTGGGCTGTGTGATCGAGATCTATGATTGCTCATTGCCCTTTAAAGCTAGAGGAATGACTCTAATTACTTTGATAAAATCTAATTAGAAAATGGCAAATTGCTTAATTTATTGAAAACTGCTTTATCAATTACAGTAACTCCTCACTTAAAGTCGTCCCGGTTAACGTTGTTTCGTTGTTACGTTGCTGATCAATTAGAGAACATGCTTGTTTAAAGTTGTGCAATGCTCCCTTCTAATGTTGTTTGGTAGCTGCCTGCTTTGTCTACTGCTTGCAGGAAGAGCAGCCCCTTGCATCTAGCTGGTGGGGGCTTGGAACCAGGGTGGGCTGGCAACCCCCTATCAGCTCCCCGCTCCCCTAAGTTCCCTGTGCAGCAGCTGCCTGCAGTTCAGCTGTGTCCCTCCCCCCTCCCCCCCCATGTGCTGCTCCTGCCCACTGCCTTGGAGCTGCTCCCCGAGACTCCTGCTTGCTGTGCCGGGGGGGAGGGAAGGAAGAGGGGGGCTAATGTCAGGGTGTCCCCCTCCACCCTGCTCCTGCACCCCGCTTACCCCATCTTCCATAGAGCAGGGGGGACACACCAGGGCTCAGGATGGAGGGAGCTTGCAGCAGCTGCGGTCTCAGCAAGCTGATCTAATTAACAAGGCAGTGTACTTAAAGGGGAAATGCGCATCTCTCTCTCTCATACATACCCCCTCCCTCCATTCCTGCTGCCTTGTAGAGTGAGAGAGTTAACCCTTGAGGCTCAGCCAATTGCTAGTTCGTCAAGGGAAATATCCCACCCTCTGACTCCTCCACCTCAACCAAGCTTCACAATCATCATCACTGTGTACCAGTATTAAATTGTTTGTTTAAAACTTATACAGTGGGGGTGTGTGTGTATGTATGTATGTGTGTGTGTATATACACAGTCTTTTGTCTGATGAAAAAAATTTCCCTGAAACCTAACCCCCTCATTTACATTAATTCTTATGGGGAAATTGGATTCGCTTAACATCGTTTCGCTTAAAGTCGCATTTTTCAGGAACCTAACTACAACGTTAAGTGAGGAGTTACTGTACAGCAGTATTTGACATTGTTTGGGCCTCACATTGAACTTAGCAGAGCCAGAAGCAACTCTGAACTTTTCAATACAATTCTAAAATATAAGGCAGCTGCACTGACAGCCTGTGACATAGACAGTATGGTGGTACATTTTTTGTCATATATCAAAGAACTTCAGCACATTTGCTGAGATTCAGGAAATGGTTCTTTTTAAATTAACTGTGAAATAGTATCTTTCTGGAGTTTATCTGGTTGTTTTTGTGTCTATGAAGAACGATACTAGCTAAATAAAGTTTAGTAGCTCAAAAGAAAATAGGGTTAAAAAAGCTCTTCATAGTCATGATGATAATACAACTAGAACTTTTAGTTCAAAATATGCACAAATGTGAAACAAACCCAAATTAGTAATTTTGCTATTAATATCCTTACATGAAGACAACTTGGATTCAGTAAAGGACATGAAACCCCTTTAAGTAACACATCCTCCTTTATTCAATATGTTTTAGTAATAAATGGGGAAAAAGCCACCTTGGAAACCCCAACATTTGCTCAGAAACGGCAGCGCACTCTAGACATGCTGATTCGTTCTTTATACCAGGACCTCATGCCTGATCTACACAAGGTAAATCCAAGACTTGCGTGATCTTTATGCACTTCATATCACCCACAGTGGCATATTGAGTGGCCTATTGCTCAAGAAGATATCCACCCTGGTGAGTATTGATTTGCATACAGTAAGTTGGATAGCAAAGGGGTGTTTTTCCTCTTTACATTTTAATTGCATGAAAATCAGCAATAAGTCATAAGAACAGCAATACTGGGTAGCTCACCTGCACAGTCAAGGCCTTCACATTTATTCTTCCTTCAATGATTGGCTGATATGAGAAACGTTGCTTCAGCAAGTCACTGAAGCAGTGAGAATGGTGCTTTATCTCTCTCACTAGGACTTAAGACAAATTGAGACAAGTCAGCCCTTACTCTTAATCAGTAGAGGTCACAGGAGCACTTTTAGATGCAAGATCAGCAACAGATTGGACACGAGTCATCTATTGGTGTCCAGACTCAAGCAAAGATATCAGTGAATGTCTGTCTTAATCTCTTTGGTCATATGGCTACTTGCACTTACGTGACACCACATGTCAGATTGCATCTTTATTCTCTCCAAGCCTGGCTGAAGTTGATCTACCAGCCAAGCAGACACAACATGACTCCGCGAGTGCTTGTTCCCGGGAATGTCCTTTCATCAATACTTGGTGGAACGATCCTCTGAATGGCTGTCCGGGAATGTTGTTTGTGTCTTCAGCTCCCACTGACACTTTAGTGAAAGATACAGTACCTTCACACAGGCTGGAGAGCGTATCTGGGTCATCTGCAGACCCAAGGTTTTGGTCCCTAACTACATATAAACAGTCTAGAACTCAGTGTCATGTCCCACAGACCTCAAATCTGGGTCTGCAGGAACTGCTACGCTCCAACCCTCCACTTGGTAGCCTGCTGAGAACTGCTTACTCAGGACCCATGAAGTCCAGCTCCAGTTCGAGACTGTACCCCTGAGGTTGTATTTGCAGAGTCCCAGAGCAGCCGATTGGCCCACTGACTTTACTTAAGCCATCAGCAGGAACAGGAAGCTATTCAAATAACTGGGATCCACCCTGCTCTGGACTGTGTGCCTTGTGCTTCCAGCTTGACTTCCTGGCATCCCAACCCCTCTTGACTCCTGGCATCTGAATTGTGATTCTGATCTCAAGCTTGTCTCCTGCTTCTGATCTCCTGGTATCTTGACCCAGCTGACACTCAACTCCTGTTTTTTGACTGTGGACTCCAGCTCTGACCACCAGGTCTGGCTGCCCACCATCCAGCTGTGACACTCAGGGCCATTCATCTAGCTCTGATTCAGGACACCAGCATCCAAGTTTTGACACTACATTAACAGGCAAGGAGGAGCAAGATCATCTCTCCCCATGCCTACAGGAATTCTCCTACTGGAATCAATCTCATAGTCAGACACTCATGTGGGGTTCAAAACAATTTAGGTGACAACTCAGTAGAAAATGGTCCCTCGAGCTTTCAGTCCTTCAGATAAAAGTTCAGAAGTGGGATCATTCCTCCACATACCTGTTCATGACCACTTTAAACAGCACATTTTGATCCGGAGGAGAAATGAGTCTGCATGCTTTCCCCTGGTCACTCTAATTACTAGGGTCCTCAGGAATGTAATACTGGACAGGGGTCAAGTTATCCTAACAGCCCCAGTGGGGGCGGGGGGAGGTGAGTTTTAGTATTCAGAGATGGTACATTTATCAGTTCAAGTTACTGATCAGTCTGGACATCATAACGCAGACCCAAAGACTGGTTCTACACCCAGACTTAGTGTCGCTACAGCTAACAATTTGGATGTTAGTAGGCTGATCTTGGAGCATAGACTTTCCGCTGCAGAGGTACAGGATCATAGAATTATAGAAGATTAGGGTTGGAAGAGACCTCAGGAGGTCATCTAGTCCAACCCCCTGCTCTAAGCAAGACCAACCCCAACTACCGGTAAATCATCCCAGCCAGGGCTTTGTCATTCTCATATTCTCATTCAGAGCTTAAAACCTTTAATAAGGCATACTTATGGGGCCCAGTGGAAACAGTTTTCAATATGGGTGTGTCATTATAATTTTACCCATTGGAGGGGTCTGTACCTGTTCTTGAGGTAATCTGTTATCATTAAAGCATTCAGATGTCTTGACTAGATCTAGTAAAGTTCACTTAGCACTGATATCTGCCTATTATCCTTCAGTACAGGAACACGCAATTTTCTCCCATGATTTTATTCCTACTGTAACTAGTTTTTTGAAGGGGTTAACACATATTTTTCCATCTGTTAAGGATTTTTCCCTTCTCTGGGACCTAAATATAGTCTTCTGATGCAGCCTCCATGAACATATGTCATCCTGTTCTTTGTATCATTTGTCTATTAATATGGCATTCTTGGTGGCTACTACCTCTGCTCGCAGAATAGCAAAATCCAAACGCTGATGGCAGGACCATCTTATACCACCTTTCGTGAGGATAGTTACTCTTCATCCTCATTCCAAATTTTTGCCTAAAATAGTGTCAGACTTTCATTTAAATCAGTTCATTCACTTGCCAGTGTTCTTTCTAAGACCTCACTCATCCACTGCAAAGGCTAAACTTCATACTTCGGAAGCTTTTAAGCGCGACCTTGTATTACTTCAATAGGACAAAATCATTTCCACAAACCACCAAGACCATTTGTATCTTTTGGTAATAAGTCCAGAGGATATGCTGTTTCAACATAGAGACTCTCAAAATGGGTGTCAGACAGCATTAGAATTTCTAAAGAACTGAGTGAGTTAACTCCTCTGTCTCATATCAAAGTACATTCTGCCTTACACCAGGCCCCTTATACTAGGCCTCAAGTCTCAGGCTCTCCCTTTCTACTGCATATGTCATCTTTCATATACTGGATAGCACCTTGATACATGTGAAGAGTATTGCAGCTACTCCACAACCTTGTAAATCAAAAGGCTAAAGCATGCATTCTTAGATTCATCAGTAGGAACATTTTAAGGGAGGGCAGTTATTTTTTGTTAGTAATCTAAACTTGAACTGAGGTCACAGGAAAATGCTGAAAGAATACAGCAGTCAAGTAATGTCAGATGAAATTTTTAAAAAATTGAAAAAGTTTGGGTCAGTAAGACTTTCTCTCTCTCTCTCTCTCTCTCTCTCTCTCTCTCTCTCTTTTTTTTTTTTTTTTTTTTAAAGAACATGCTTAATAGGAGGTCGTTCAGTGACGTGTTACCAGAATCCCCTAGATCAGCACGGAAGAAAGAGGAGGCCCGTCAAGCAGAATTTGTCCGACTTGGTCAGGTAGGTTTTATGTTGAAAGTATTGGTCAAATTAATTACTCCACTGGGATGTGTGGAGTAAGATTAGGGATGTCTGGCCAAAAACAGGCTTGTGAGATTCCAGCTGGTTCTAGCTTATCTGAGGCAGAATGATATAAGCAAATCAAGGTGCTGACTGCATTTGCTGCTGTTAATTTAGTCATGGATCTCATTAAATATATTAGGAGCACTTTCAGGAACAAACCCGTCAGCAGAAAGAGGGAGATGTATTTAATCTGTATTGTGGTAATACGGCATTTAACACTTATCTGAAGTGTTCCCTTTATTTAGTAAAATTATATTATATTGTGGGAAATATTTAGAAAAATGGTGATGGTAACTCAAAGCAAATGAGACCTTGATAATCACACAATTTTTGATTTTTATAGTGTAAAAATGTAGATTCAATTTACTGATTTTGTTTTAATTTTTTTAAGTAAATTGACATACAATGTAGTGAAGACGACAAATGTGTCGGAGAAAAACAGAGTTCTCACTCTCTTTGGTTGGGTGCAGCAAAGTCAGATACTTTATTCTCAAGCAGTTGTGCATAGAGGGAGAGAGTGCACTAGGACACAGGGTTTCCCCCTCCTAGGCAGGTCTCTTTCTAGAGAAACAATTACAGCAAGCATTTATACCTTTTGTTACATACAATAATGAGGAGCAACAGCTGCATTGTGTTTATACATAGGTCATCCTGATATCTTATTTTTCACATCTATTTAGACTCTAGTCTACATTCCATATTTATCTACACAAGGTCGCAACAACTTCTCACAGTTCTTTCCCACTCACCTCACACAGAGGGATAGCTCAGTGGTTTGAGCATTGGCCTGCTAAACCCAGGGTTGTGAGTTCAGTCCTTGAGGGGGCCACTTAGGGATTTGGGGCAAAATCAGTATTTGGTCTTGCTAGTGAAGGCAGAGGGCTGGACTCGATGACCTTTCAAGGTCCCTTCCAGTTTTAGGAGATGGGATATCTCCATTAATTTATTATTTATTTATTTATTTATAATTTATAATTTAATCCTCGCTTCTACAAATCTCGCGTTATTAGGGTTACAGCTAGCCTGACTCTTGCTCACAGAAGAGACTGTTTGCATTGAAATCCCCTTCAAATCCCTGTCAGTTCTTGCTCTACTTCCACAAGTGCTAGGGCAGAAAATTACACTAGCAATAAGTTAATTAACTAGGCAATAATATAAATGACGGAAGTACAGCTAAATAGGGAATTGAGCAGAATTACATTCACAGAAAGGATAACGATCAGAGGGTGAGTTATTAAGGAAGCTGATTTAAGTAAAAAAGAATAACGACTTTGAGATGCCACTGTGGATTTCTGAAGAAAGAATGAATCAAGGCATATGTGGAACTAGCAGGAAGCAAAGATTTAAATAAATCCAAAATATGACAGGCAGCCTTTTTTTGGTCTGGAAATAATTGGCTTACCTCCTTGGCTTCAGTTGAGGTTCAACGTTCTCAATAGTGCAGCTGAGGCGGAGAAGTGCAAAGATGTATAGGTATTGTGAATTTGGGCATCTCTCAAAATAAATTAGCTACTTGCAATGCTTGCTAAGAATTAGTTTTCCTATCAGTCTTTAAAAGGAAGTTAAAAACATAAGAATAGCCATACTGGGTTAGACCAAAGGTCTATCTAGCCCAGTATCCTGTCTTCTAACAGTGGCCAATGCCAGGTACTCTAGAGGGAATGAACAGAACAGGTAATCATCAAGTGATCCATCCCCTGTCACCCATTCCCAGCTTCTGACAAACAGAGGCTTGGGACACCATCCCTGCCCAACCTGGCTAATAGCTAGGGCCCTACCAAATTCACCGCCATGAAAAACGCACCATGGACCGTGAAATCTGGTGTGCTTTTACCTTATACTATACAGATTTCACAGGGGAGACCAATGTTTCTCAAATTGGGGGTCGTGACCCAAAAAGGAGTTGTAAGGGGGTCACAGGATTATTTGAGGGAGCTCCCAGTATCGCCACCCTTACTTCATCGCTGCCTTGAGAGTTATGTGGCCGAAGAGCGGCGGCTGTTGGCTGGGTACCCAGCTCTGAAGGGAGTGCCCTGCCATCAGCAGCACAGAAGTAAGGGTGGCAATACCATACCATGACATCCTTACTTCTGCACTGCTGGTGGTGGCGACTCTGCCTTCAGAGCTGGGGTCCCAGCCAGCAGCTGCCACTCTCCAGCTGCTCAGCTCTGAAGGCAGCTCTGCCACCGGCAACGCAGAAGTAAGGGTAGAAGTACTGCAACCCCTCCTACAATAACCTTGTGACCCACTCCCCACACACATACACACACACACACACACACAACTCCTTTTTTTTGAGTCAGGCCCCTACAGTTACAACACCATGAAATTTCAGATTTGAATAACTGAAATAATGAAATTTGCAATTTTTAAAATCCTATGACCGTGAAATTGACCAAAATGGACAGTGAATTTGGTAGGGCACTACTAATAGCCATTGATGGACCTATCCTTATCTAGTTCTTTTTTTAACTCTGTTATAGTCTTGGCCTTCACAACATCCTCTGGCAAAGAGTTCCACAGACTGATTGTGCGTGGTGTGAAAAAATATTTTTAATAATATTTTAAAAAAATATTTAAACCTGCTGCCTATTGATTTCATTTGATGACCCCTAGTTCTTGGGTTATGAGAAGGAGTAAATAACACTTTATTTACTTTCTCAACACCATATTCCCCCTTTGTCGTCTCTTTTCCAAGCTGAAAAGTCTGTCTTATTAATCTTTCCTCATACGGAAGCCGTTCCATACCCCTAATCAACTTGTTGCCCTTTTCTGAATCTTTTCCAATTCCAATATATCTTTTTTTGAGATGGGGCAACCACATCTGTATGCAGTATTCAAGATGTGGGCGTACCATGGATTTATATAGAGGCAGTATGATATTTTCTGTCTTATTATCTATCCTTTTCTTAATGATTCCCAACATTCTGATTGCTTTTTTGACTGCCGCTGCACATTGAGTGGATGTTTTCAGAGAACTATCCACAATGACTCTAAGGGTAGGTCTACACTTACCCGGTAGTTCGGCGGCAAGAAAATCGAACTTCTGGGTTCGACTTATCGCGTCTTGTCTGGACGCGATAAGTCGAACCCGGAAGTGTTCACCGTCGACTGCGGTACTCCAGCTCGACGAGAGGAGTACGCGAAGTCGACGGGGGAGCCTGCCTGCTGCATCTGGACGGAGGTAATTTCGAACTAAGGTACTTCGAACTTCAGCTACGTTATTCACGTAGCTGAAGTTGCGTTAGTTCGAATTGGGGGGTTAGTGTAGACCTGCCCTAAGATCTTTCTTGAGTGGTAACAGCTAACTTAATCCTGATCATTTTATATGTATAGTTGGGATCATATTTTCCAATGTGCATTACTTTGCATTTATCAACATTGAATTTCATCTGCCATTTTGTTGCCCAGTCATCCAGTTTTGAGACATCCTTTTGTAGCTCTTCGCAGTCTGCCTGACACTTACCTATCTTGAGTAGTTTTATATCATCTGCAAATTTTTCCACCTCACTGTTTACCCCTTTTTCCAGATCATTTATGAATATGTTGAATAGGACTGGTCCCAGTACAGACCCCTCAGGGACACCACTATTTACCTCTCTCCATTCTGAAAACTGACCATTTATTCCTACCCCTTGTTTCCTATCTTTTAACCAATTACCGATCCATGACACAACTTTCCTTCTTATCCCATGACTGCTTACTTTGCTTAAGAGCCTTTGGTGAGGGACCTTGTCAAAGGCTTTCTGAAAATCTAAGTACGCTATATCCACTGGATCCCCCTTGTCCACATGCTTATTGACCCCCTCAAAAAATTCTAGTAGATTGGTTAGGCATGATTTCCCTCTACAAAAACCATGTTGACTCTTCCCCAACAAATTATGTTCATCTATGTGTCTGACAGTTTTGCTCTTTAGTAGAGTTTCAACCAGTCTGTCTGGTACTGAAGTCAGACTTACCGGCCTGTAATTGCCGGGGTGACGCCTGGAGCCCTTTTTAAAAATTGGCATCACATTAGCTATCCTCCAATCATTTGGTACAGAAGCTCATTTAGATGATAGGTTACAGATGACAGTTAGCAGTTCTGCAATTTCACATTTGAGTTCCTTCAGAACTCTTGGGTGAATACCATCTGGTCCTGATGACTTATTACTGTTTAGTTTATCAATTTGTTGCAAAACCTCCTCTAATGACACCTCAATCTGGGACAGTTCCTCAGATTTGTCACCTAAAAAGAATGGCTCAGGTTTTGGAATCTCCCTCACATCCTCAGCCCTGAAGACTGATGCAAAGAATTCATTTAGTTTCTCCGCAATAGCCTTATCATCCTTAGTGCTCCTTTAGCATCTCGATCGTCCAGTGTCCTACTGATGGTTTAGCACGCTTCCTGCTTCTGATGTAGAAGTTATTCCATAAAGAGGAATTTGCTTTCTTCTTTGTGTGCATTATTCAATCACTGTTGGTTCCATTTGACTATACGGTACTGAAACACTGGATTTTGATCTGGTTGTGAAGCTCTTCTAATCATTGACAATATGGAAGGATAAACTAATTCAGATTCTCATTTGTCTTCTCACTGCAACTTTGTGCAACATTGGTATTGTGTTCTGTACTATGAGCTAAGTATTTTTCAAAATCAGCATGCTTCTGTTGACCTGCATCTTGAAAGGTTTGTAATGCTGTTCATGACAAATTTGGATTATATCATTCCACAAGAATGTGCAAATAGTGTCACTTAATGTCTTGAAATGCACTTTTAAAAATGTGACATTAACTATATAGGGCCAGATTCTCAGCTGGTGTAAAGGGTGTAATTAGCTCATGGACTTAATTTGTGGGTGTGAGGACTTGTTATTATTTAAGGTGTTCTCCATTAATATATTTGCTATGTTAAGTTTTGTTTTTGCCAACAGCAGATATATATTGTCTAAAACCATATAATTTTCCAGCATCTTATTGAACAGTTTAATCTCTGCTCAAAACACACGGAATGGCTGGTTTTCTTATAAAGAAATTATGTAATGTGGCACAGAAATTCAGAGCTGGATCTATTGTAATTATACTCTAAAATTGCTTCCCTCCCTTCCCCAATAGTCAGTCTCCATATCTTTAGTATTTATTTATCAATTTGGTGTTACCAATTAAGAACACACTTTAAATGAAATATCTGTCTTGTTTAAGGCACTGAAACTGAAAACCATTGTGAGAGGAGATGCCCTAACTAGTTCAGCAACCACAAACCTCTATAAAAAGGAGGTGAGTGGACATTTATACATGATAATATGCAAAGTTTGCTCAAAATCTTGGCTTTCCAGGTTCTACTGAATATGGGACTACATTCCAAATCTTATAATGCATACATGTAATTTGATTCAGTAACAGAAGAGAAAACATTGACATATTGATCCATGTATCGGTGCATAATATCAAAATGGTTCTGCAGGAAAGGCCCAGTAAATGGATGGGTATGGAAACTATCTCTGAACTTAAAGCTGGTTTCAGCAATCCCACTTTTGTTTGGATGGAGTAGTAAATGAAAATGCCAGTTGATTTTTGTGTACATTTATGTAATACTTGTAACTTTTGCTTCATGCAAATAAAATTAAATTGCATTGTTGTTTCTAATAAAGGGCCAGATTTTTCCTGGCCATAGTGTGGGTGTGCAGGAGTGGAAAGTGCAAGGAGCACCTCTGTGCACTCTGCACAGAGGCCAGGTGCAGAAGCAGCCCCTGTGCTTGGAGAAATGCAGGGACTGCACAGTCTATGCCCCAGGGACATACAGCATCCTGAAGAGGTTAGAGAGAAGGTGGTGCCATGGTCTGGCCCCTTTCTACACCAGCCCATGAAGCTGGTCAGGTAGAGAAAGCTGAGTCATCTAAAGTGCTGGTACAGCATGTGCACTTCCCCTGCATAATTCATAGATTCTAGGACTGGAAGGGACCTCGAGAGGTCATCGAGTCCAGTCCCCTGTCTGCTGGAGCTACTTGGAAGGGCAGTTTTGCACCACCACTAGCACATGCCAGTGCCTAAATGCCACAATCTGGACCATAGAGCATAAGGAAATTCCATATCAATGTTGGTAAACATACATTCTGGATCTGAACGTTATTTCTGAAGCAGAAACACAGAGGAGATGTTTTCAAAGTGTTTCACTGGTTATCTGCTACAGGTCACACTCAGTAGAGTGAAGCTGCTGACCTCCCATACTTCTGGAAATTTACCCCAGATAGGTTTATCTTGAAGTGAAAAAACATTCTGAATACCAAGTGCTGTCTCTTCCTGCACCTGCAAGATGTGACCTTTTCCCAAAAGGAGATTCAGTGCCCCAGTCTCACAAATGTAGCTTATATTTATTAACCTCCCAAACTAATTGAGAAAGGGAATTTTTGCCTCCCCCGGCAAACAGACCAAAGTCTGATATTTTTAACTCCAAAAGTGCAGCTTTGAGCATTCTGTCCTGAGTTACTTTTCAGCTATTGTACTTTAAATTTTCTCTGTTGATAAACTTTGTATTTCCTAGTGTATTTACCATACACTGCTTATGTCGTTTCACAGCCATGGGAGTCCCAATGTTTCTGCAGTAATTTTCCTCATGAAGTTGTTTGTGCGGATTCTTGGGGCCAGTCCTTGCTAGTTTCTACAGATGTTGGTGTCCTGCTAATAGATGGTTAGTGAATGATCCAGCATTTGTCTACAGGACAATATTTTTGTACCTGACAGTTTCAATCTGTGGTGCCTATGAGGATGTTAGCAGCTCTTCACTACTTAAGATAGTTAAAAGTCCACATCTATTACTATATATCCTTACTGTCAGGGCTTTTATAGCTTAACTGCAAAAATTTGCTTTGCACTAAAACTAGGCAAATCAGATCATCTTGGGGGCCCTGTTTTAATGCAGACTTCTGAATATTTTATTGGTTTCAGATGCTGTTTTCTTGACTGTCTGAGAGGACTTTTTATTAAGCCAAATCCAAGCTCAAGGGGTGTCCATGCAGCCTGCTTGTACTTCACAGTCCTTGATGCTTCCACTGAGCCTGAGGCCAAAGGTGGCTGTGTACCATTTATGTAGTCATCCAAGCCTGTTTCCTCCCTAGCACTGATTTTGTGACTCTAACGCCTCTTCCCTAGAATGCTATATATGGTAGTCATGATTTTGAGGAATGATATTGGAGGTAGTTGGTTCTCAGCAATTTTTCTCAAACTTTCCAAAAACTGTTCCTTTTAGGCTCTGTTTTTGCTATATGATTCACATCAGTGTAACTCCTTCTAAGAAGGAACTGCCATCTTTGGTACTGTATATAAAGTGGCAGTATGCCAGATGCCTCATTTTCACAGAAAAATAACCACGTTTTTGTTACAAGAAACAAGATGCTTTAAAATCACTAGTCAGCAAATCATAGTGTCAAAAATGTGTTCTAATTGGCGGTCATGTTTCCTTTCCAGATGGCCAGTCATCAGTGCAAGTATTTGATAAAACTCTCCAGGTGAAACAGATGCATGTGCTGGAAGCTTTGGACCTTTTGATTACCAGAGCAGACAAAGGTAGGATTCCTTACCTCTTGGTTCCAATATGAATGTGGCTGGCACACTATTACTTTACTCATAGCTCAGTAGAAGGTAACAGTTTATGCACTTGCCCTTTCAGAATGCTATTTCATTTTGTCAGTAATTATCTTTTAAAAAGTTTTTTTCCATTTCTACTGTATTTATTCCCAGGTCTCTCACCTTCACCTGCCTTCTTGCTTTCCTACCCAGATGAATTTCTTTGACTATTTCTGATCCAATGGTATGTGAACAAGTTTACTAGTCAGTACTGGTGGAAGACAATGTCCCAATAACTGACGTTATGAGACATTGGCGTTACACTTACACATCACTTTGTTCCCACTTATCATTGGAGCTTCCAGCAGTATGAATATGCAACACCAGATCTATCATACAGCAGAAGCTGCTTTTCCTTCGATGGGGAAATCCTCTTAGTTTTAAGTAATTCCTGCTTGTTGCTGGTATTGTAACTTTTTGGACCAAATCCTGCTTACCTTATTCACGCAAGTAATCCTACTGACTTTAATGAGCAGGAGTCACCATCCTAGTTTATGAGCCGGAAGACTTATTAGAATTGCCCTCCATTCCAATTGCGATGGTCAGGAAACAAGTGAATTCAAGAGTTGAAATGTCTCCGTTTCTGTAGTTCTAATATCTGCCAAAATGCAAAGTTAAAATATTTTCTATAGAATTAAATAGATATTAAAGTGGGAACAAGTTCTTGGCAGTATCTTTTCTACAACTCATTTTGATTTAACTCAGCTATATCATGAAATTTATACATTTACTTTTGTTCTGTCAATTATCAGAAGAAAGCCTGTAGTAACAGTGGCTTTTAATCTTGTGACAAAATTCTTACCATGCTCTTCACTCCATAATTTATAATAAATAAATATTAAGGGAATTTGATATAGACAGTGGAGAATGTTTCATACTACAAGTGATTCTATGATTGCATTATACTATACCCTAATGAAAGAAATGTAAAGTTACCAATAGACACTACAGTTCAAAGGCATAAGAGAGTCACAGTTGCCTCTTTAGTATTGTATTTCCATATTGTGAAAGTACATAGAGAGGTGTAACACCAGCTAGGACTTAACAGAGGTAAATCTCTAGTGGTGCTCTGTCATATACATTTAGGAATATTAGAAGCATATCCCTTTAAATGAATTTCTAATGTTAATCTTACTTTGATATAACTTTAGGACATCATAAATTGACCTAGGTATTGTTCCAGGTTGCCCTGGTCTCTGTTATTGTGGACTTTATTTCAATTAGCATTCTGCTCTGTTGAAAAAAAGGGTACTTGAGGACAAGAAGAAATCTTTATTTTTAAATTTATAGCTAGCAGTTGTCTTTGTTGCCATGAAAATGACACACACATCTTCCTGTTAAAGTAGCAGTACAGAAAAGTCTACTTCACACTAACCAACATTTGAAAAAATGTCAAGTATCAGAGGGGTAGCCGTGTTAGTCTGGATCTGTAAAAAGCAACAGAGGGTCCTGTGGCACCTTTAAGACTAACAGATGTATTGGAGCGTAAGCTTTCATGGGTGAATGCCCACTTTGTCAGACGCATGCGTCACCCACGAAAGCTTATGCTCCAATACATCTGTTAATCTTAAAGGTGCCACAGGACCCTCTGTTGCATTTGAAAAAATGTTAGTTTCTAGAGGATAGTTAATAGGGTGGGTATGATGGGAAGAAGAGAAGTGGAGACTGTGATTATAGGGGCTAAATAAAGTTTTTGGTTAGTTTTGTGGCATCATTGTTGTGAATAGTTAGTTGAATTTGGTGGTAGTGTGATGGTTGTATAGTATGAGATGCGTAAGTAAAAGAATAAGCTGAGGAGTGAGAGTAGAGCCATCAGGGTGGCAACAATGATTATGTGTTGTTTGGTTAATTCTTGTAGGATTAGTCATTTTGGTATGAATCCTGTTAATGGGGGTAGGCCTGCTAGTGATATAAGAGTACTGTATATACTCGATCATAAGCTGGTTCATTTATAAGCTGACCCCCCCCCCCCACAAGATGGATAAGTAAATATGGAAAATTTTTATCACCCGTTCATAAGCTGACCCTATAATTCAGGGCTCAGCAAACTTTGGCTCCCGGGCCATCAGGATAAGCCGCTGGGGGGCCGAGATGGTTTGTTTACCTCGAGTGTCCGCAGGCACAGAGGGAAACCTAAGTAAACGCTAACTGCTTACTCTGACAGGCCGGGACAGCAACTGATGGGGAGAAGCTGGGAGTCAGGGGAGTAACCCCTGTGACCACCCCCCACATGACCCCACCCCTAGCCTGGGACCCCCACACTCTCCCCATCCCATCCCTTCCCACCTTATCTGGGGAGGGCCAGGGGAGGATGTCTCTGACCTGACTGGAGCTGCTCTGGCAGGCTGGGCAGTGCGGCCGCAGCCTGCTCCGGCGGGCCAGACCGGGCGGAGCGGCCGCAGCATGTTCCAGCAGGCTGGGCTGGGCGGCACAGCTGCAGCATGCTCCGGCATGGCGCAGCCACAGCCTGCTCTGGGGGGAGGGGCCGAGCGGCACGGCTGCAGTCTGCCAGCCCTGGAGCTGCAGCTGCTTTGGAGGCTGGGGGGAGAGCTGCGTGGCCAGAAGCGGAGAGACTCTGGCCCCGCCTCTTCCCTTCTGTCTCTGCTGGCTGTGCTGCCTCTCCTTGCTCCCTCTGTTGGGGGGAGGGGCTGTGTCCCACCTCTCCCTCTCTATACCCGTTCATAAGCCGACCCCCTTCTCTGGTGCTTCCCTTTTTTACTAAAAAATTCGGCTTATGAACGAGTATATACGGGTAAATATTATCAGGGTGTTTACGGTTGGAAGTTTTGTTCATTATGTTATGATGGATATTTTGTTTGTTTCTAGAGGTTTAATTATTAAGAATATTGTTTAGGTTATGATAATGTATGTGTAGAATGTGAGTAATATAAGTTTAGTAGATAGAGTGAGGATTGTGGTTATTCATCCTAGGTGGGCAACGGAGGAAAATGCTATGATTTTTCGTAGTTGGGTTTGGTTTAATCTGCCTTATCCGCCTACTAGGGTGGATGTTAGCCCTAGTGTTTAACAGGTGGGGTGTGCTTAGGGCTTGGGCGGTTATTACTAGTAGGGATAATGGGCTAGTTTTTGTCAAGTGGTTAGGATTAGGGCTGTTGTTGTGATGGTTCCTTGTAGTACTACTGGTGGTCAGAAGTGGAATGGAGCTAGTCCTAGTTTGATAGCTAGGAATGTGGTGAGAATTGTGCATGAGATGTCGTTAGTTGTGTAATGTTTCATTGGCTTAGTGTTCAGGCATTAATAATGCTAGAGAATAGGATTAGTGTTGAAGTGGTTGCTTGTATTAAGAAGTACAGTAACTCCTTATTTAAAGTCGTCCTGGTTAACGTTATTTCGTTGTTATGTTGCTGATCAATTAGGGAACATGCTCGTTTAAAGTTGTGTAATGCTCCCTTCTAACGTCGTTTGGCAGCCGCCTGCTTTATCTACTGCTTGCAGGAAGAGCAGCCCCTTGCAGCTAGCTGGTGGGGGCTTGGAACCAGGGTGGGCTGGCAACCCCCTATCAGCTCCCCGCTCCCCTAAGTTCCCTGTGCAGCAGCTGCCTGCAGTTCAGCTGTGTCCCTCCCCCCTCCCCCCCCCATGTGCTGCTCCTGCCCACTGCCTTGGAGCTGCTCCCCGAGACTCCTGCTTGCTGTGCCGGGGGGGGAGGGAAGGAAGAGGGGGCTAATGTCAGGGTGTCCCCCTCCCCCTGCTCCTGCACCCCGCTTACCCCATCTTCCATAGAGCAGGGTTCAGGACGGAGGGAGCTTGCAGCAGCTGCGGTCTCAGCAAGCTGATCTAATTAACCAAACAGTGTACTTAAGGGAAATGCGCATATCTCCCTCCATTCCTGCTGCCTTGCAGAGTGAGAGGGTTAACCCTTGAGGGCTCAGCCAATTGCTAGTTCATCATTTAGCAGTAAGGGAAATATCCCACCCTCTGACTCCTCCACCTCAACCAAGTTTCACAATCATCATCACTGTGTACCAGTATTAAATTGTTTGTTTAAAACTTACACTGTGTGTGTGTGTGTGTGTGTGTGTGTATATATATATATATATATATAGTCTTTTGTCTGGTGAAAAAAATTTCCCTGGAACCTAACCCCCTCATTTACATTAATTCTTATGGGGAAATTGGATTCGCTTAACATGGTTTCGCTTAAAGTCACATTTTTCAGGAACATAACTACAACGTTAAGTGAGGAGTTACTGTATTGGTGGCAGCCTCAATTGCTCGTGGATGGTGTTGTTGGGCAATTAGTGGAATGATGGCTAGCCATCAATTTCTAGTCCAGTTCATGCTAGAATTCAATGGTTGCTGGAGATTGAAGTATAATTAGGCTTGTAGTAATAATTATTCTTGTGTGTGGATTCACTAGTAGAGGAAGGATTTTAACCAACATTTTCGGTATATGAGCCCAAGAGCTTAGTTAGCTGACTTTACTAGAATATAGTATAATGGAAGTATGGGGAGTTTTGCTCTCTCTAGTATAGGTTCAAATCCTATTTTTCTAAGGAAATGAGAGGTTTTTAGCCTCTATTATTCACCCTGTCAATGTGATCCTTTAATTTCAGGCACGTGTCCTTTGGTATGGGTGGGAGTCCTGAGAAGATCCCTGGTTGAGAATCAGTCCTGAGAAGGCAATTGGTATTGATATATGTCAAAGGCATAGTGCTAAGGTGATTGGGAAGAGGTTTTTTCATAGGAGGTCATATCGAAATCATGGGTATGAGTCTTGGATTCATAGGAATTCTGCTGAAAGTATTATGACTTTTGATGATAATGAGAGGGAGAATAATTAAGGTGTGTTGTTAAGGGAGGGTGGGTTGAGGAATAGGATAGCAGTAAGGGTATTTATTATTAGGATGTTGGCTTATTCTGCTAGAAAGAATAGTACGAATGGACCAGCGGCATATTCAACATTGTATCCTGATAGTAAT